GTATTGAAATATTTATACAGGTAAGCCCACAGTATCTGTGCAGCTCCATTCAAAGGTGATATCCCAATGTCTGACCAAAGTCTGGATCAATAAAACACAATTATCACAGGACAATCCAGAGGCGGCTCTTGATGAACGACTGGAATGTGGCGGATTAAGGGGGCCGCTCAGAATTCTTCACTTAACGCGTCTCCAAGGGAAGAAAAGCATTCTCTGTATCGTTTAGTACAGTGGTTCTTAACCTGGGTTCGATCGAACCCCAGGGGTTCGATGAGTCGGTCTCAGGGGTTCGGCGGAGCCTCTGCCGCGGAGGTAAAGACACACTGTGTAAAGTCGTGATGACGCCCCGTTTTGCCATCACTTGCTGTAGAGGATCACGTTACATTGCTTAGCCAATCAGTGCTGTGGGAAGGAGTTCCACTCTCAGCATGGATTTGAACTTGTGTCTTTAATTACTTCAGTAAAGCTCACCGTTTTTACCTAATTCTATAGTTCGGTGAATGCGCATATGAAACTGGGGGGTTCGGTACCTCAAAAATGGTGAAGAACCACTGGTTTAGTATAAAGGCAGATTAGTCGTCTTCTTAGCTGTAAAGTCAAACTCCAATAATAAAAGCACTGTAAATCAGTGGTCCCCAAACTTTTTCCTGTGAAGGCCACATAACTTTTCCCTTCTCTGGTGGGGGGCCGGACATTGTTGACGGGGGGCGTTTCTCACAATTTATTTTCACAATTAACAAATACTTACAAACAAATCTTGTCTGAAACACAACAAATAAAGACAATAATCAGCTACTCCACGAGCTGTTTGGTGTTGCGTTCCACCATCTTTAATCTATTTTTTTCTTTTAGCATCACAAAAGCAACATAACAAAAATATCCACCAGGGGGTGCTCTAGTGGGGTTTTCAAAACCTTGCTGGTCCAGCTTAACTAAACAAAAGGCAGCACAATTATGTTTAAGTGTGTTTAAAGTTCTAATTTCGAAATTGGTACAAATATACTTTTAGTATACTTCAGATATATTTTATATTGTACACTTAATACTTAGTTTACTTAAAATGTACTTTCACAAATGTAAGTATGTTTGAAATATACTTAAAGTATACTTTTTTCACCTGGGGTGAGCATCGATATAGCCAAACTAAGTTAAGTATGGCATTGTTTTTATACCATATTAGACTGATGCATTTTTACGTGCTTCAGCCCCAACACCGAGGTAATTTTCCACCACAAATACGCAAACTTCCCCATTCACTCAGTGCGTTATAGTTCCACACGACATTGCTTAGGATTTGTTGCTGGGCGCGTTTCTCGATTGATTTTTACCCAGAAAGCACATGGGCAAAAACCATGAATGAAACGGTCACTGGGACTAACTAGCATATATTCCATTGAGGGAAAGTAACTATAACATATTAATTTCTCATATGTTAACATAAAGGCTCGTTTTGATGAAGTATAAGCTGCTACTTACAGGCATCGCTTCGAAGAACTCGACCTGGAATGCGGCGTTCATAACAGACACGTGTGTTCATCTGCTCTACCGCTAGCAAACAACCGTACTGATTAAATAACATAGAAGTCAAGCAGTTCCCTAAGAGTCCAACAGATGGCAGCAATGCGCCATGCAAAACAAAACACCCACAGTTTACAGGACACACTTCCTGCTAAAGAGCCCCCTGGTGCTTGAGGAAAAATCCACATATAGACCGGAAAATACAATAAATGGAAAAAAAAATCTGAATGGTCTCTGGTATTGTTCAGGGGG